GGCCCCGCTCCTCCCTCCCCGGGCACCCCCCGCGGCGGTGACGGGGCCTTCCGTACCCGCGTCCCCCCCAGCCCCTCTGCGCCATCCGGGTGCCATCACGAAGGCAGCACAGAAGGCAGTAGTTTAGTCAGGAATGGGGGAGGCTCAGGGTCTCTTTAATCTTCAGACATCTACAGCATCACGTCTGACCGCCCAGTCTCGCTGAACCTCAGCTGAGACCCGCACTCGGAGACCTCTCCCATTACTATCCCCCGGTGTAGGCAGTGCTCTGGAGTCACAGAGCTCTAAGTACCATAGGGATTCCCTACATCAGTCACGCTGCTGGGCTCAGCTGTGATGAGATGCTCAGACGAATACCCCACCAAGGAGATGCTCAGACACACGAATACCCCACCGAGGAGATGCTCAGACAGACGTATACGCCACCAAGGAGATGCTCAGACAGACGAATACCCCCTCATGTACCACCTCCTATTACACAGCTGCATCCAAATGTCACCCCAGTTACAGTTCACCTACCTAAGAGTTGTATCTGCCATTTAAGCCTTGCTATCAACTGGTTCTTCATGATCATACACCATTTTACATATTACTGATCCACTGCTGATCTGTTAACTTTTTGGGGGATTTCTCATGCACAGCTGTGGTTACGCAAAGTAAAGGCTTAGTTGATAAAAGGTTAGTAAGTGATTTATAGGTTGTAGGAGTACATTACAATACAAAGGTGTTATTAGCATATCAGAAACAAGCTAGAGGTAACTTTTTGACTCACTTGACTCTTACCAGGTTTGAAGAGCTGATCAGACATTCATACATACCCATCACTCAATCTTTAAAATCTATTTAGAAATACAACATTAATAAAAAACATACAGGTATGCTTGGACAAGGTAAGGACACTCTTTAGAAATCCGTTCCTCCCCAGCACGCTCCCAAGTCACATCTCCTTATTCATACATCTCAAATAAGTCTCAGTACTATGACCTGCACTGTGCAGATGGGGAAACTGAAGCATGGAGAAACATGTTCACTGGGCCAGTTGATTAGAGAGACAAAAGCACTTACAGCCTCTGTGATACACGAGCTACCAGATCTGCTCTCTATCATCTTAATTTTTGCTAGCAATGCTCGCATTTCTTCTCCTAGAAGGAAACCAGTATGAAGCACCACTGCATCATAACTGAGCAAGCCCATCGAGAGAGATACTGCAAGACCTCAGCAGCATGGTACATCAACATTGAGTTCCAGGTGTAAGGCAGGCCTTACAATTATCCCAAATCTTTCTGCAAATCTCTCCCCACACTCACAGACTGTTCCTGCATCAATCTGCCATTGCCTCATCCCGCTGCAACCTGCCCTAACCAAGCAGTTTCTGAGATTTACTCATTTCCACCCAGCAGGGACATAAACAGTACAAAAAGACACACAAGAAGCTGTGTAACCCAGCAGTCAGACCCTGTGCCGAGCCTAGGCGTCCACAACTAGGGCAGGAGCATAGCTGGTGTGCACATCCCTTACCGACCTGCTGTGATCCACACATTGCCACAGCCCGAGGCTGGTGGGACGTGCCGCAGAGGGCAGAGCCGCCTTCTCCCGTGAACACGGGGTTTCAGGTTTTCTATCTGAAGGCACTAGGATGGGGCTCTTCTGTATCTGTCCTCCTCCTAAGGAATCGAAGCGATACCGCAGGTCCTCAGGTATAATACCAAGGTGATCTTTTATTGTCCAAAAGCTCCCTAGAGTGGTCAGAGGCCTATCAATTGTATTGGCATTGGCAATAACCTAGCGGTCTTGCAGAGAGGTTCCTATCTACGGAAACTATCTGTGGCTCCTGGATCACAGCAGTTGAAGTGGGGAAAGAAAAAAAAAAGAACCACAGGTTGTGTGCACAGTGCTATTCTGCTGGCAAGTTCTGGGCAGCACAGTAGGCCTGGGTCTGTGCACAGGAACTGAAAAGTAGTTTAATATAAAAATAGAGCTTTAAGAATACCAAAACAACATGACAAGGCTCGTGGCTCTGAAACATCTAACACATTTAAGAACTGCATTTTTCGTGAAATATTTCCGTTAGAGAACTTCGGTAAAACTATTTTTCAAAGCCTGAAATAATTCACATACATGCAGTAACAACATAGGAGAAAGGGGGAAGATTTTCTAGTATGCACTTCAGTTTGCATGATTGTCATTCCAGTGTATTACAGTTCATTTTGCACATTACAGTTCTCTCTTAGCAAAAGCACAGTTGCAGCAGCATATTTTCATCTTTACACCAGAGATTCACACAAAGTTGTTATTCTTAAGTAAGTCTCAAAAACTGAAGAGTGGATTCTGGAGTGTGACTGAACTGAGACTAATTCTGCATCTGCAGAATGCCATGTCCACATAGTATCACCAAAAAAAAAAAAAGATCTCAGTAGAAATTCTTGCATGTTGTATGTATTCTAGTCTGTTTATAATTTTTGGCTGGCTTGGTATGTCAGATTACTTAAAAAAATCAATTTGCATTTTCTTAACATTTTTAAAGATACAATTTATACTCTTATCTCAGTTCTCTTGCATTTCTGCAAGTGGTTTTATCTCAAAATGGCTATTCAGTATCGAAGAGCACCTAGAATAATGTAATTTCCAGTTCCAATAGCATAGCGTTTTCAAACTAGTTGCATCTCTCCTCTTCAATATATACTTGCTATTCATATTGTTTATATCCATTCAGCAAATGAATTACAAGATTTATTCATTCCTGGGGCTGGTGTCTCAGTACTAATACCATGCAATCCACTGAGATGCTGATACCTGTAGTTCCGCATGTCTTTCTTGCAAAGTTCCTTAAGAAAGGCAGTGTGTATACCTGCAGTGGACACTCTGATGTTAATTTTCAAGAGCTGATTTCCTTGGCTCAAAATTTTCCCTTCGGAGGCGCTTTAATTCTCTCAGTTCTTGTGGCCGTAAACTCTGGTCCACGCCAGGAGTTAGCTTATAATTTAAAGGAGATTCAATATAACCATTTCTGTACAGACAGACCCGCTTGCAGAATTCAAAGGTGCTAAACATAACACCGAAGTATGGGACAATCTGATAAAAAAAAAAAAAAAAAAAGCAACGTAAGATAAAAAAGCAATATTAGACTCACTAGCAGCATTCTTAGCTTAGATGTTTTAAAAAAGGAAACTTCTAGGACTTCAAATCTGATCTGCTAACAGAGTTGTGCTCATTTGTATAAAATCAGTCTCACCTCAAACTAGGCTGGCACCTGCAGCATGCTAAAAGTAGAAGTTTACTATTGGTATATAACTAATTATAACAATAGTGTAAGGAACACGGTCTGTGCTAGCCTGTAGATTACCACAACTTGTCAAATACCTAAGCAAATCCTAAGCAACCTCAGCAAATCCCAGTAGGAAATGTGGGATTTATTCTATAAACAGCAGAGTGACTGAATTTTCTTTTGCTCCGTGCAGAATCAGCAGCTCTGGTACCATGTGGCTTTTTAGCAGCCAAGGTAGGGCCAGGCACAGGCAGGCTATCACAATCAATCACGTTGTCACTCAATTACCACCCATTAGCTGACCTGTAGTACTCCATGTAGGTAATCCTCACCGCAGCACTACAAAATGTATTTATGTAAACTAAATTACCTTCTGTTTAAACTACCATGCTTTATTTCATGCTTTCAATTCAGCAAGGGCTGTAGTAACCAGGACACATGCATTAAATAGCTGGTTGAAAGTACTACTTTTGACTTCTGGGGAAGTGCCTTATGCAAGCGCAATTTTCTTTACAGCTCAGTACAACACGTCAAATTACTGGAGCTCAGCTGAGAAGCAGAACTTGCTTAGCCGTTGTAAGTGGATCACTTGCAATCCCCCATCCACACCCCAACCTTCTACGTTAGCAGCACACCCTTCTCTAAGGACAGTCAAATGAACTTGAAAGCAGGGACATCTAGAAGCCAAGCTTACATTTGAGGAAATATGACCAAACCAAGTTCCAAAGCTGGTTTACAACCTGCCCGAGGTTATACCTGTTCTGTCACAGACTCTGTCATCTATAAACTGCTAATAAGTATGGAGGCACGTCGTAAGCTTTATAACCTCAAGTGTCCAAAAGTGTGTCTTGATTACTTCAGGATAGTCTTTGATTGGGATGAAAGCAAAACCTCACCTTGAGTAGACTGGGTGTGAGTCCACTCCAAAGTCCAAGTACACCTTTGTTCTTCACAGTTTGCCGAAAGCAGTCAGCCATGCCAGTAAAATGAACATCTACTGCTCCATAGTGGGGAAGCCAAGGACTCTGGGCCTGTTCAAGAGACACACAGGGGGATTTAGAACAAGCAAAGGAAAACCAAAGTAATTAAAGGTAATTATTTTCTCCATTCTAGTACATAAGGAACACTTAATGCCAGGTTTCAACAGACTGATCTGGATTCTTCCATCAACCCAAAAGAATCAGCTATTTTGCCTTGAAATACAAACAACAAAGGGAGGGAATTCACTCGCTGATAGGTATGAAAGAGAAAGACAGCAGTAATTTCACACAGCACTTCCTTTTGTGCCATGTCACTACTAGAAATCAATCCTACCCTTGTGAAGACAAACCATCCCAACCAGAGCTGTGTAACGCATCAGCCCCACATCTGGGGGAGAGGTATCTCACATCGCTGGCCGCGCAGCACCTACGAGAGGGAAGCTTGGGGCTGGCCCCAGACCCCGCACTGCCTTCCCGTAATTCTGGTCAAAACAGCAGAGTGTGCCGACTTCACTTTGGCCGCTGAGGCTTTGTCCACACTGCAGTGAGAAGGACGAACTGCACTACGGGTTGAGTAGCAACAGCACGCCAGAGAAGGAAGAACAGAGACTTCAGCCCAGGTTGTACAAGCCCATCCAGGGCTGTAGGTGAGCAGTTGGTGTCTGTGCTCCCCTGTCTTTGCTACATGGTCAGTTGATCCAGACTGGTTAAAGTCAGCTTGGGAGCATCTGCTGGACTGCAGCTACATTTCCAACTGTAGTACAGGCAGTGTCTGTTCACATGGAAGAAGTGTAGTGGGTCATTTTTAACAGCAAAATCCTTCCTTCATTAATCTCCTACTGAGTTAGCACAGACAGGATAACCTGACCTTGAATAATCCCATCCTTATCCATCTGTGCACATGCAGCCATGGGTTTATTTTGCATTGGCAAATTAGGGTTTCACTCAAACGCGTGGCAAGTGACACTTCTCAGTCAGGAGTGCGTGGGGACCCCAGGACACAGGTTGATGACTTGTGCGTGCAAGCTGATCACCACGGGGCAGAAGTTTGATAATAATGGGACTTGTACAGTTTACTGATAGGTGAATATGGATATCACTATCCCCTCATTGATCTGAAACACCATGTGGTGTAGCATTTTTTCCCTCCTTGGCCAGACTAACCTACAGCTTCTCAGAGCTGCTAAGCCTATGACAAGCCTCTCATAATTTGACAAGTGGTGATGACATTTTCTAGATGCCTCAGCTATAGCATTTCAAATACTTGGCAACTTAGATGCTGGAAATGGAAAGAGATCAAAGCTCATGCTCCAGGTATATAAGAGAAGTTGCTAATCAAATAGTTTTAATGCTGTTGCATCCCTTTGCATTACCGGCAAGTCTACTGATAAAATTTAGAAGCTAAAAAAAAAATAATTAGAAGCTAACAAAAAAACCCTAATCACCCCACAGACTAACTGCATAGTCATCTTTATCTACCAAAAAAAAAAAAATAATCACGTATCATGACTTTTTTCTCACTTCTTTTGTGCATGATAGAAATGCATGTGAAATACTTCTGATGGCAGGTAACAAGTAAAACCATACAGTTTCCTTTTGACGGGGCTTTGGGAAGGTGATTTTGGGAAAGCATCTGTCTGCACTGAGAAAGAAGGCAATAGGCTTCCACCACATCCTGATTTGTTATCTTCTGGATCCCCTTTATTATGTCCTGGCTCTTCTACCCCAGACAACAGTAGGGCTGAGGATTTAATCTACGGGCTTTTACACTTTAAGGAGAACAGAAACATTTGTTTCTCTCCGAACTTTCTCAACAGCGTACCTGATTTGTAAGAAAGGGCTCACATTTGTGGGAAAGAAAGTATTTCAACTGTTCTAATTGCTTGTCCCCTTTGTGTCTGCATTGGCCTTGCTAACTCCATGGGGCTACCGCGGTTTCCGTAATTCCTAACCGTGGTGCAAGCTCCCACAGCTTCCTGGTTTAGGACTCCGAGGCAGACATTATGGGATTTAATGTTGTGATTTTACAGTATTACCAGCCCAGCCTTTGCAAGTAGTTCAAGGTAACAGAGCTAGTCTGCTAGCCAAGGGTCACGCACAATGCTCATTTGCTACAAGGAAGCTCAGCAGTCTGCTTGGCTCTGTTAATTAAGGGGTGTAAGGGTTTAAAAAGCAATAGCTAAATCCAACAGTGAGAAAGTGAGAAATAATTTTTCAAACCTTAATCCACAGTACTTGAGAAATTCCTGCATAAAGACTCTCATGATTGTACCACAGAAGAATCTGAGTGCTACAACTGAGACTGCAGGGACCACTTCCACTAAGAATGGTGATACTAGCACCAGCAATGCTTAGAAGAGCACTCAAATGATGTAAGTATCCTTAAAAACACAACAGCAGTCATAGGAGAGCTGGATTCAAAACACTGTTCTGCTTTCTGGACTGTCAGCCAGTTTCCATGAGGTTTTTAGGTAAAGGAAGACATAGTCAGCCAAGCAGTGAAGATGGACAGGTTACTAAAACGCTTCAGGAAATCAGGAATGCTGTTTACATGTGATTCCCTTCCTTTTTAAGTCCCTTTGTGGTAGGCAGGGCATGACCTGCCAGAATTAACTGCATGAGTTTGACTTAATCCCTGTATACATTGCAAAGCCACATATGGAAGGGTTGTGATTACAGTACTCCTGCCCACAACACCACGACAGGCGACAAGCACACTGCAGGGTTCAGTAAGATTCTGCACACAGCAAACACATCCAGAAGACAGTTAAAAAGGAACAGGTAAATCAAACTCCCAGATTTCTAATTTGCCCACAGACATCGACCTCTTAAGAGATTTACTGAAAGATTATATATAGTAACGTTCACCACGGTTACAGCCATTTTCAAGATTTCAGTCTGTGGGGAGAAGTACGCTTTGCCAGTCTTTCTGCTTCACAGGAGCAGTAAGTTTCTAGGACCCTACACACAGTATTTAAATAACAATTGTCCGCAGAATCTCAGAATCACCTACTGCAAAAGGAAAACTAAAAACTGTATCAGTGTGTAGCTAAAACTTCAGTCTTTTGCAACACAGCTAAACAAAGTTAAAATGAAGTAATAAAAAAAAAATTAGGAAAGCATTTCATTTGGCACTGTTTTTACTGAAAAAAAATAGCTGTGGGTTTTGGGTGGTTCTGAATCATCTGAGCACGTCTACAACACGGCAGTCCTCACAACCACCCTATGGCACCAGAGCCAGAAGATGGAAGCAACGAAACAGATCAAACTAGTTTCTCTACCTTTTTTGCAGAAACCTACTACAACATATAAATTAAACAGCTAATTTCATACCAAGAAGATCAGGTTTACGGCAGAGACATCTCACACCATGCACCTTGAAGCAGCTTGAATTCCTTTTTTTTTTTTTGATACCACTTGACACTATGAGTTGCCGCATGGAAATCTGTTTGTTATGAACATTTTTGATGACTTTCTTCCCCCCCAGTTACGGCTGTCTCATACTGCAGAAGGCTGGAGATACAGTACAGCTCACTGCACTGATAACAGAGGGCCAAGTTGTTAGTCATCGTAGTAGCAGGGCTAAGTTGCTAATCTTTTTACCTCTGATGGGCGATGGGTTCTCTAAATGATTAAAGCACATCAAATGCAGAATTGACTCCAACTACTCTCTCACAAGCACAGCCTTTTAGTATCCAGAGGCCGCCAAGTCTACTAAGTCACTGTGATACATCCCCAAAGTTACTACTCTGTTCTATTTCGACAATCTAAACCCAAGAGAAAGACATGTGTTAAAAAAACTCCAACTACCTGCACTTACATTTTTTTATACAAACAAATATTTACATAAGGGTGAAGTGTCATGACAAAACTCAAGTTAATTGTTACCTGAAGGCTCTTCAGACACCATCTCTCCCATTGTCTGCATCACAAGGTGACTGCCAGAACAACATAGTCCCATTTTGGGCATTAATCTCACAGAACCTTATAAAGATTTCCCCTTCAATGATCTCCCCCAGCCCCTCTCCTCCTCCTCTCTTCCTCTTAGGGTTGAAGGACAGATGCAGTTCACCGCAGCTGCGGTGGGAACCATGCCCATCAAAAGATCAATCACTCGAATCTTTCCAAGGCTCACAGTAGGCACACGGGGACCAAGCAGAGACCACTGGGTCACGAAATGGCAGACATGGTGGTCAGGCCACTTGAGCTTGAGCCCAGAGCTGTGCAAATAAAAAAATTCCCACTTGCACTTTAGGACATTTTGGTTTGCTACTATCTGAATTTACATGTGTCAGAGATTATTTGAACATACTTCCCTCTCAATTTATGTACTTTTTTCTCTCCTTCCCTGTTTATAAAGTTTGTTGGTATAAAGATTTGCTATTTATTTATTTTTTGAGTATGCAGTCCTGTTGGCACAGAGTTTGAAAGATCAACTAAGAGTGAATAGCTGCCATCAGTAGTGTGCTACCCTGATGGTAGATATAGTCAAATTGCTTGTTATTGATACATTTTCAACAGATTCAGGTGCCCTACACTTCTGATCAATTTTAAAAAAAAAGTACAGGAAGGCACTTTACAACACAGCTCAAGAGTTCACGCTCTTAATCTGGAAGCTAAAATAAGAAGTCTTTGCAGTCTGGGTTAATAAGGACACATGCAACGGGCAAGCGTAACTGTATTTCAAAGGAAACTGAAAGACGAAGATTCCAGTTTTCATTCAAGCTATTGCCACTACAGTCAACAGAAATGTCACTCAAGTGAAGGCTGAATGCTTGAAAAAGTATTTCATTCCACTCAAATAATACTTACTCACGTTTTAATTCTTAATATTGGGGAAAAAAGCATGCATTCTCTTGGGCTAATCAATCCTTTCTCCTGGAGGACAGCCTTACTCAATAGTCATTGTCTTTTCTGTAGAGGTTTGGTAATGCTGACTTACCTCTGGCTAAAGTCCACCCAAAGGTATTCAGGCATGTAGGAAAGTAAACGATGACAAGCTATCAGGAGGCAATCGGTTCCACAGCAGCTCACCTCTCGCTGCCTGCGCT